CACCTGTTTATATGAACTGACAAGATAAAGATTACCAAAACAGAAAACTGTCTTAAGTCAGCATAGATATCAAAGTTATTGAGATATGATCCGAGTACACCCGTTTATGTGAACTGACAAGATACAGATTACCAAAACACAGAAAACTGTCTTAAGTCAGCATAGATATCAAAGTTATTGAGATATGATCCGAGTACACCCGTTTATGTGAACTGACAAGATACAGATTACTGAATTCTAGAATACAGCTTGTAAAGTCAACACAGAGCTCTTCATATATGATCTGAATAGACCTGTTGATCTGAACTGACATTAAAATACAGCTTGTGATTTCAGCATAAACCTCAAAGTTCTTAAAATACAACCTGTTGAACTGTTTAAAAAATTCTACATAAACAGTATTAGTTTCACAAACTAACTACAAATATATATATAGCAAAAGGCCGATTTGTTGTAAATAATTCCTAAACTGTCAGTTCTCCTATCTATACCCACCATTCCTAGTGTTTCTAAAAAAGATTTATGAAAGAACATCCAAAAATAATTATTGTTAATACAGAACTCACTGTCTCAAACCTTACTGACAACTGGCATGGTTTACCACACAAAATAACACCTCATGAAAAAATATTATGTAATATACCTATTGCAACATAAGGTAATAAAGGTGACAGTCACACAATACACCATGACCATCTCACTGTGCATTAAATTTTTCATCTGTTACAATATGTACTACATACCTTCCATAAACTAAGGATAAGCAATCATAGTCTGAAAAATGAGATCAGAGTATGAAAAGATTTGCATAGAAAGAAGTACAGCTAAAACCTTTAGAATAATAAAACCTTTCCTTCTACAACAAAGTTATTAACCTAAGATAAAAAAATCAATGTGTTTTCAGATAAGATTGCAAAAAGGTTTAAAAGCATGGATGTTATGAAGAAGCAGGCATGTAGTCTAGTGAACTTTCAGTAAACTAAAAGTATTGTAACTTCTTTAAATCAAAGCAGTCCCAATAAAACTAAATCTACTGTAACTTTAACACTAAACAGTCCCAATAAAACTAAATGTATTGTAACTTATTTAATACTAAACAGTCCCAATAAAACTAAATGTATTGTAACTTATTTAATACTAAACAGTCCCAATAAAACTAAATATATTGTAACTTATTTAATACTACACAGTCCCAATAAAACTAAATGTGATATAGCTTACTTGATACTAAACAGTCCCAATAAAACAAAATGTACTGTAACTTCAATACTAAACAGTCCCAATAAAACTAAATGTACTGTAACTTCTTTAAAACTAAACAGTCCCAACAAAACAATGTACTGTAACTTCAATACTAAACAGTCCTAATAAAACTAAATGTACCATAACTTCAATACTAAACAGTTCTTCTCAATAAAGCAACACTCATTGGTTGTTTTCTAGAAGAATTTGATAACTTAATATTAATGCAGATTTTCTCCACATTTATTTTAAAGGAAACACATAGGTCACCAACATTTTCTAAAATATAGTTGTGATAAACACAACAGTCATTTAACTTTCAGTTGTGATAAGAACATTTACCTACAAAGATATGCTGTGATAAGTACAACAGTCATGTTAACTTACAGGTGTGATTAATACATTTATCTATTGACACACAACTGTGATCTGCACAAGTTACCTGCTAACATAAAACTGAGATCAACCATTACTATGAAGCATGAAATCGTGCATGCTTAAATTATTTTGGAACTAATTAAAATATTAAACAAATATCTTTCTCACACCACTAACCAGAAACAAACTCTGATACCCGTACGACAGCTTCTAAAATCAGCTAAAGATTGTGGAATCACATCTTGTCACCTCAATTTAACAAATTTAGAACTGCTGGCTGATGGAAAATAAAGTATCCTTTTTTCATGTTCTAGCCAGTTTTAACATCTACTCACAGTTTTTCTTTAAACAAGTTTAAATATTATATATATATATTCACTTTTATTGACAAAATATCAGGGTTTCTATACAACTATTGTTAACACCCGTCTGTTTTTACTTTTCTAATTTTTCACCTTCTCAGACTTTCAAGTTCCTTGTACTCCAACCTTGTTCATTTTTTTCTTCTCTAATGGCTTATTTTTCAGTTACTTTATGTCACCCAATGTTAAAATCCCTTTAAGTTATATGTACCCAAGTTTGTGTTATCTATCCACTGTTGCTCCTTTAAGCAGTACAGTTCGGGATCTTTATACTCCAGCAAATGAATCATGATTGGTTTTTTATTTTGTACAACACCTTTCTTCTTTAAACATATTAATGTGATCAAATCAACAAACTGTAATATTATAGTTTTTAATCTTTGTGAAAATTCCTAAATTTAAGTAGGTGGCCACATTGTTATCATGTATTTCTTCAACTTCCCAGTTTGTAGTGATGGTCGTGTTTCAATACATTTTCTTTAAAAAAAAAAGGTTTGTTGTTAAGTTCAAAGCTACAGAATGGGCTATCTGTGCCGTGCCCACCACGATTATCGAAACCTGGTTTATAGCATTAAAAAGTCTTCAGACTTACTTCTAAGCCACTGGGGAGGACCAAGAAAAAAAAAAGGAGCATTACAAAATAAAGAGGTGTAATGCTCTTTAAGAAATTTACTGTGGTGAAACTGATTTTACATGACTCATAAGAAGTGTTTCATAAAAATTGAAATTTTGTTCTTAAATAATATCCTAAATTTATTTTAATAATATATTACTCATACCAGTTTCAAAGGTTTTTCCAGCAAATAAGTTTTGAACAGTTAAAATCCAACCTAGATGTCTAAGAGTCTAACATTTGTTTCGTTTAATTCACTAACTTTTGCCAAAAACATTCTCAATGTGATATTTCTAAATTTTACAGGAAATAACTCTAGAAACCATTCATAAAACATGTCAGTGTCTCAAAAAATAGAGAGAAACACTCAATTTAAATGATTTACAAAATAAGGCATTGAGTATTTAGCTTTTTTTTTATAAAAACAGAAGTTTAAAATAGTCTTTCTTGTAAAAATTACTGCCAATGCCACTCCAACATCAATCTTGCTCGAAATGCTATTTATTAGAAAAGAAGCTGAAGTATGGTGTAGGTTAAACCACTGAGGAAGTGAGATGAATTCACTTGTTAGGCCTAATAAATAGCATTACCCACGGTGGTTGTTGAAAGATATGAAGTATGGTGTAGGTTAAACCACAGAAGAAAACAAGATGTTAACTACAGATATTTATATTTAAAAATATATACATATCTGTAGTTAACATCTTGTTATATTAGATGGTTTAACCTACAACATACTTCATATCTTTCAACAACCACCGTGTGTAATGCTATTTATTAGGTCTAACAAGTGAATTCATCTCTCTTCCTCAATGGTTTAACCTACACCATACTTCATATATTTCAACAACCACCGTGTGTAATGCCATTTATTAGGCCTAACAAGTGAATTCATCTCACTTCCTCAATGGTTTAACTTACACCATACTTCATATCTTTCAACAACCACCATGGGTAATCCTATTTATTAGGCCTAACAAATGAATTCATCTCACTTTCTCATACTTCAAAATATTTGAGGCTAAATAAGCCAACCACATTAGTAATTCTTTTCTTTATTTTTAACACGAGTTTTATAGACTTATCAAGAACCTAGGTTTCCAAATATGATAATACCACCTTCATATTTCAATGTTTAACAATCAAGTCACTTTCTTTAAGACCTAAATAATCTTGGTATTTTAGTCTTCATTAAGTGAGTTAATTGTCATCTTTCAGGTATTAAACATACTTTAATGAATTATGTTAATAAACCAGTTTTTTTCCTTCAGGAGTGTTTTCCAAATTTTAAATAGCAGCACCCCCTAATTCAGCAAAGTTTCCATTGCGCCTTATTCCCTTTACATTGAAATAATTTTAACAAGTGATAACAGCAAAATCAACATTTTATTTACCTGTTTCTAACTTTTTTAAATAAAAAAATGGCTGTAAGAAACAAGAGAAAATAATCTTTCATAGTTTTCATAGGTTATCCTCATCTCTGCAACTCGTACGATTCTTCCGTCATTATCTTCAGGCTCTCCTGCCAAAAGCTTTCATAGTACAGTGTTTTCATAGGTCATCCTCATCTCTGCAACTCGTACGATTCTTCTGTCATTATCTTCAGGCTCTCCTGCCAAAAGCTTTCATAGTACAGTGTTTTCATAGGTTATCCTCATCTCTGCAACTCGTACGATTCTTCCGTCATTATCTTCAGGCTCTCCTGCCAAAAGCCTGCACCCCCCCAGCCACCAGTAAGTGCCCCCCAGATGGGCATGCCCCACACTTTGGAAAACACTGTCCTTTAATATTCAGTACATTTAGAACATCAGTGTTCATTTTAATAAAACATGGTAATAAGACTTTTTCTTTTTTTTTTTTATCTTCCAAGCATTCACTACATGTTAAATGTCTGTGTTCATTTTAATGAAGTGTGGTATTAACTATTAAATATACTTAGTGTTCTTCATCACATTCATATATGGTAATAATTCAGTATGTCAGTGTTCATCTTCATCGAGTGGGCTTAATAATGTTTCATCTTCCAAGCATTGGGCTTAAGAAATTATTAGTTTCATTTCAATATTAACTATTTTATTGAATTTATATCCCATTAGGAAGTTTAATCAATATTAAATTTGTATCCCACTGTCTTGTTACAGATAGTATATCCACATTACGTTCAATATCCCAATCTCATTACAGGAAGATTTAATCCACACTTTTCATATCTCACGGTCTTATTACAAAATGAATAATTCCCATCATTTTACAGAACACTTATCCTCACCATTTCATTTATTACAGAAAGTTAAATACACATCTTCTAAAGAGGACACCATTTCAACTGTGTTTATGTGTCATGTTGTTCACTTCATTCTAATCACAGACCAAAACTTATACTAGGTTAAGCTTTTCACTCAGAGTTCTTTCAAGCTTTTAAAGGCTACTTAGTCTGCTACAGAATATGGGTGATGAAGATCCTGAAGTTGAAAGAGAAATGTATAACAACCTTGCCATAATTAATCCTACTTTTATATTTCCTTCCATTTACAATAATAGTTTTACAACATAAAACTAAAGATATCAGTTCTCTATACTTTTGATGAAGAGCATCTTTAACAACCTCCCCGTGGACACTTGAACTACCTTCGGATACAAAGAGATAGAATATTCCTGAAGTCACATCAAAACAATGAAATCATGCTTTGACAGCCTAGTTGTTATAAAATATTTTATGATGTGCTGAATGAGCTACAAACGACAATCTCTATTCTTGAATATTTAAATACTAAGCTCAATGATTACCAGAAGTAAATAAACGAATTAACTTCCTTAACGAATCAAATGGTTCCTAAGAACAGTTAATGTTAAACATTTCAGCATGGGTTAAAATGGAGTTGTATCTTCCTAAAGATGGCCCAGAAACCACAGTTTCCTTTTAGTACATACTTAAATACTGGAACACCTAAAGGAAAAATATACTACAGTCAAGGTTGAGAGTAAGTTTATACATATTTCATGAGGATAAAAAAAAACAAATATGTATGTTAGCTTGTGCATTATAACAAAACTAGTTGTTTTCTTAATCATTCTACAAGTGTGGAAGAAAATAGACTCCACTAACAGCAATATGCAATTAACTACCTTTGCTTAAAGATACCATCATCCTTCCCACCCCAGTCTGTCGAACAGCTCTACATTAGAAACTATCATACATCAATTTAAAATGGAAAAAAATTAGGCCCACTAACTCCAAAACACCTATAACATCTTCAACACAGGTTTCGGTTTCAGTGTGTTCCGTATTACTGATTCTTTACATTTTCATAAATATAAATCTCCTGAAGTCACCTCAATCTGTGTTAACCTCAATGTAAACAGTTAGAAGTCACCTCAGTTTATCTTATTCAATTCTAATTCCTGTACATTTAAGTAGATGTGGTTTTTGAATGAGGTTATCTCACACTGCTATACATTATCGGTTCTGTCGATTTCTCTAGATATCAACATTGTGAAGCCATGTTAGGTTGTGTTCTGCTTTATCACATCTGAACATTTGCTAAGATATAACTATCTTGAAGTAATCTCAGCCTACAACATCTGTACATCTACTAAGATGAAGACACTTCAACCCGGGTTCAACTTCATCTGTTCTGTACGCGCTGAGGTCACCAGTCAGTGATATGGACAATTAAATCCTTGAAATTTATTTAAATATAAGTACACAGTGGTCATTTCACTTCACATGAGCATACTTCATTACCTTCTGTACATCTAAAACGTAAACATGTATGAGCTCGTGACACCTTCATTTTCATTTGCAAATACCTGTAGTTAATAGACAACATAAAGCAGTAGTGGTGGTGGTACAAATATATTTGTACCACCACCACTACTTTATGTTGTCCATTAACTACAGCTATTTGTACCACCACCACTACTGCTTTATGTTGTCTATTAACTACAGCTATTTGTACCACCACCACCTGTAGTTAATAGACAAC